TCCTGCTTCCATGTGTGCCTGACCCACTTCCATGTGTGCCCGTCCTGCTTCCATGTGTGCCCGTCCTGCTTCCATGCGTGCCTGTCCCGTGCACAATGTCCCCAAGGCAGGAGGAGCGTGGTGGCACTCTCAGGGCTGCCTGAGGGCACTCTCAGGGCACATCCTGCATTCCTGGTTCCTGCGTGGGCACAGCCCTGCCGTGAAGGGGCTGCAGCTCAGCTCCCCTCCCTGCAAACCTGTGAGGCCCTGCCGTGTCCTCACCTGCCTGTGGGCTCAGAAGTGTCCCTTTGCCAGGTGCTGGCAGTGCCCCAGCACAGCTGGCCCTCTCAGCCATGCCCTGTCTGCTTTGCTGTCTGTGTAATTCACATTTTGTTCTTTTTTTCTCCCAGGGAGCAAGTCCAAGGCATAAATCCCGACCTTCATTTCCTGGATGACACTGCCTCTCTGTCAAGGGAGCTCGAAGCCCTCAACAGCAGCTTGTTTGCCACCAGCTCCCAGTTCCAGAGCAAGAAGAGCCAGTTTGAGAGCAGCCGCAGCACGGACCTGTCAGGTACAGCTCTGCAGCTGCAACACCTCTTCATTTGCACTCATTCATTTACCTCAGCCTGGCTGCCTGGGGTTTCTCCTGGCTGGGGGGATGAGAAGAGGATTTAACCTGCTGTCAGCCTCAGAACTGCAAACACTGCAAACTCCTCTCCAGAGCTTCCCATGCAGCCTGGCCATGCCCAGGGCTGTCTCCCTGCCGGGGGATTTGCTCTGCTGGTTTGGGGCTGGCAACTCATTCTGTGCTCCTGTTCCCCCCTGGCACAACCTCTGCTGCCAGGGAGGGGTGGGAAGGGGCCAGCCCTGCTGGGAGAGTGTCACTGGATCCATGAGGCACCAGGGGATGGAGGCTGAGCACAGACAGGAGGGATGGAGGGTGGGGAAGTGATGCCAGGCACTGGGGAGGAGAAGAGCTGATTAAGCCCTGTGACGATGTTGGTGGTTGCTGCCATGAGTCCTGCTCCGGCTCCTTCTGTCCCAGTGCCTCGCTGCTGTCCCCTCCCTGCCACAGCACACAGCTCGGGGACGTGCCAGCCATGCCCAGTGGCACCAGGACACTTCACTCTGCACCTCTCTGTCCGCTCAGAGCTCCCTGTCCTGGCCACCTCCTTCCAGCCTGTGCTGGAGGGGAATGATGGGGCTGCTCGGGAGCTGGGAGGAGGCTCTGAAACCTGTCCTGCCCTGCCAAAGCTCAGGATCAGCGTGTGGGCCTTGGCTGGCTTCAGTTTAGTTACAGCCTCCTAACGCCAGTCCCGAGTTCAGCCCTTCAGGATCCCTCGAGGGAATGGCTGAAGGGTGTTTGGAGCTAGGAGGAGTTTTTGGTGGTGCCTTGGTGACTAATCCCTGCGTGCTCTCCTGTGCAGGGACCCAGCGCAGGGCAGAGGCAGTGCCTCCCTGAGAGCTGTGCTGCATTTGTGAGTCATTTGTGCCCTTTATGGCCTTCATTCCCACAGGAGCCTTCCAGACCATCCGCTCTGCCTCCCAGAGCTCCAGCCGTGCCAGCAGCCTGGCCGAGGGAGCCCCGGGGCTGCTGGCCCAGGCCCGGGAGAGCCGCCGGAGCGCCGTGGGGCTGCAGGGGGACCTGGCTGGGGACACGGCCAAGCTGCTGGCCCTGAGGGCCGAGCTGGCCTCGGGCCCCGACCTGACCCCTGTCATCAACCAGGTGAAGATGCAAAGTGGGTTTTTATCTTGTGGCTGTTTGCAAGGGGGCCCTGTGGGGCTCAGCAGTCTCACCCTGCAGCCTGCCCCTCTCCCCAGGCATGGCAGGACAAAGCCCCTCTCCGACAGACTCGGCTGCCTTGGCCGAGCATCCCTGCCAAGATCACAGATCCCCAGCACTGCCCTCCACCCCCTCCAGCCTGTCCTTTTCCCTCCAGGGACTCTCTTGTGGCACTCCTTGTATCTCCAAGACCCCCTTAATTTCTGGATGAGGTTTCTCTTGTTTCTCCTTCGCTGCTTTGTCATTGCCATGGAGACCCATTTGGGTGCCGGTTGCTGTGGAGACCACCAGCCTCCCCTTGCTGCTGCTGGGGGCACCAGCACGTCCTGAGCCACCAGCCTGGCCTGGCCGGGCACGTGCCCTGCTGCAGTGTCAGCCTGGGGCAGCTCTGCAGGTGCCAGAGGCAGAGCTGCTGCTGCTCTCAGGTGCAGTTCTGCCCGGAGTGAGCAGGGCACAGGGGTTGTTCTGCACACAGGTTTGCTCCATGCAGATGTGCTGTTACTCTCCGTGAGCCACTGGGGCTTGGCCCCTGCTTTGTCCGGTTCTCCTGCAGCTCGGGCTGCTGCTGCCATGCTGACCAGGGTCACTGGCTCGGGTGGGGGCATCCAGCTCTGGCTGCCCTTCTCCGACTGGCACATCTGCAGCGCTTTGGGCTGTGCCACCTGTGTCACCTGTGCCACCTGTGTCACCTGTGTCACTGCCAGCCCGCTGGGCTCCCTCCTGTTCCCACACAGCTCCTGCAGCACAGCTCAGAGCTCCCAGCTCCCTTGGCAGGGTGTGCCATGCCCGTGGGGCTGTGTTTGCCTCCCTGCTGGGCGCTGCCCAACCCCAGCTCTTCTGTCCCTCCCAGGTGTGCGGAGGGGCCCGAGCGGAGCCGTGCACCCCTGCCCGCTGCCAGGGGCTGCTGTGCCCTCGGGACAACAGCTCTTCCTGTGGGGCTGGCCGGCCCTGCCACGGCCTCTTCCCGCTGGCCAGCGGGGCCCTGGCTGCGGCCGGGCGAGCGGCCAAGGAGTTCGGCAGCCTGAGCGCCCGGCTCCGGGACACGGCACAGCTGGTGAGTGTGGGCACTGCCCGTCCCCCCGCTCGGAGCTCTGCTTGCCGCAGCAGAGAGTCAGGAGCACCCACCTCGAACTCTGCTTGAGGCTTCACCCTCGGGCAGCTTCCGAAATCCAGGAATTTTGGAGTGGGAGGCTCCCTGCTGTGTGCGGGTCCTGCCTCCCCAGCTGAAGGCACTGAGTGGCTCTGGGCACAGCACAGGGAAGCCTCTCTCCCTCCTGGGTTGGGATCAGAATGGCAGAAGGGCTGGGAACATGGGAAGCTCTCAGATTCTGCAGGTTTGATGCATTTGATACAACCAGAGATAGTTCATGGGTTAGGGCTCTTGCAGCTTCTTTCTGTGCCTTGCAAAGAGGAAGGGAGGTTTCCAAGTAAGTCAAAATGCATTTCAGAGGTGTTTTTAAAAGCTGAATGCTGCTGTCCCTCTCTGAGAGCTCCCTTTGCAGACCCCAGCCCCAGTGTTTAACCCTTGCAGCCCTTCCGAGCTGCGGCACAGCGAGGACAGGGAGCAGCGCGGCGGCTGGGGCAGGGCTGTGGCTCGGGATGGAGCAGAGGCCCCAGCAGCTGCTGTGTGTGCAGATCCAGAGGACGGAGCTGTCGGCGACCCAGGTCCAGAGCAGCACGCGGCGGCTGGCGGAGCAGCTGGGGACCAGCAGGATGCAGCTCCAGGGCGACGTGCGGCGGGTGCAGCAGCTCCTGCAGCGGCTGCGGGGCGTCCTGGCAGGTACCCCTGGCACGGCTGGGCTGGGCTGAGCCCGCCTCGGGCATGGCACAGTGCTGCTTGGAGTGCTCAGATCATCTCTGGGCTTGGAACGGAGCTCCAGGGGCACAGTCCCAGCCGTGCCCGATCCCCACCTTGTCACCAGCCCAGAGCGCTGGGTGCCACCTCCGGGCATTCCCTGGGCACTCCAGGGCTGGGGATTTGCAGTCAGCAGTGACCTGATGCGCAGAGGTTTTCTGGCCACGCTCACTGATGCGGACACACAGACAGATGACCCTGCTCTGGAGCAGGCTGTTAATCAGATGAGGATTCCTTGTTGTCCTACAGACTGATAGGATGACTTATTGTTCACAGACAGATTGTAATAACATAATGAGCCTCCTGAGCATTAGCTGAGTAAGAAAACCAGGTCATTTGGTGCTGCCTGGTGTTAATGATGAGTGAAGATATTTCTGAGCTAATCACTGGACTAATGTCCCTTGGGCTCTGCCTGCTTCTGATTTATTAACTTTTATTTGTGAAATGAAAAAAGGCTTGTCTTGAAACACACCCTCATCTGTTCAGTGAGGGTGCCTGACTGCTCTGGGCTCAGCCATGCTGTTAGCTTTGCCAAATTCAAGGTATCATTTCATCTCTTTCCTGAAAGTTTTGCTGGTGTGAATGAGAAGTGCATGGAATTCAAGGAGAAGCGTTCGGAAGGGATCCTGGCAGCTGTCAGGAATGAGATGTGTGTGAAACATGCCTGGGTGTCTGCCCTCCTCCTCCCTTGTGTTTGCACTCCCACCTCCCCTGAAGCTGTCTGCCTGCTGGCTCTGCAGACAAGGACATGGATCCTGCCTCCATCCAGGAAATCAGTGAGTCAGTTCTCTCCCTGCGTCTCCCCACGGACGCCGCTGCAGTCCGGAGGAGAATGACGGAGATCCAAAAGCTGGCGGCCGAGCTGCAGTGCCCCGAGGACATCCTTGCCCAGACGGCCGAGGACATTGCCAGGGCCAAGCGGCTGCAGCAGGAGGCAGAGCAGGCCAGGTCGGTGGGGGTTCAAGGCTGTTGCCAGCTGAGGGTCCCTCGGCTGGGGTGGAACTGGTGGTTCTCAGCTGGGTTTAAATCTGGCTCTGCCCGAGCTGTCCTGACTTGCACAATCTGAAGTTTTAGGCCGGGATCTTCTGTGTCCATCCAGTGCCTAACAGATTGAGTCTGCAATCTCCAGACATCTCCCTGTGGCCCCAGTGCGAATAAATCTCCCCAGAATAGATCCTGTTACAGATACCAGCACAGGAAGGGCTTTATGGAAAGCAGTGGAGGCTTTTCTCTTATCTCGAGTGCCTGTGCTGGGAGATGGCAGCGTTGCCCTGGTATTAGTTGATATTGGTGACCTACATCCCAATTGCACAAGAGAGCATGGGGAGAGTTAATGGGCTATTTGTTTTCTGGGTGAAAGTTGGGACAATTATTCCACAGTCCCTTAAAAAGTGATTACAGGGTGTCCTTGCCAATTTGGAGCATCTGCTTTGTCACAAGTTGACTTGCAGCAATACCCCAGCAAGAAGGTCAGCAGGGTAAATCTGTAAACTCCTTGGCAGTGTCTGACACCTGCTTAACCTGCTGGAAATGATGAGGCAGGGGAGCCTGGCTTTCTCCAGAGCTCTGTCACCTGGCCCGAGCAGTCCCACTGCGAGCAGGAAACTGTTCATTGGAGCTGCTTCCGTGCTTATTGCTTTCCCATGGTCATGCAGCAGGAAATAAACGTTTCTGACTAGTTTGAAGGAAGGCATTTCTCTCCCCTTCCTAGTTGTCTCCTCTGCTTGAGGCTGTGAAGCAGAACTGACGTTCCTCTGACAAGGAAACCTGCTGGGTGCAGACGTGTGGGTTTTGGGGGTGGGACACTGTGACCTTGCCAGTAGCAATCCTCTCCAGCTCCCCAAGCTCCCTGACTTCACCTCCGTGACCTGACTCCCAGTCTGAGCCCTCATCCACACTCAGTCTGCCTGCTCCCCACCTTTCCCCAGGAACCGGGCGAACGCCGTGGAGGCCGGCGTGGAGGAGGTGGTGGGGAACCTGCAGCGAGCCAACGCGGCGCTGCTGGAGGCGCAGGGAGCCCTCCGGGGCTCGGGCTCCTCGCTGCGCTTCATCCGCGAGCGCGTGGAGGAGGTGAGGGACGCCAGAGCCTCCCGGAGCCGCCCCAGGTCCTGTGCCCGCCTGTGTCCTTCAGGCAGCACAGCTGGCACAGGGAGGCTGGGATGTGGCTCTGCTGACCGGGCTCGCTCTGCCCGCAGATCGAGGCTGTGCTCGGGCCGGCCCAGAAGAACGTGGAGGCCGTGGGGGCCGGGCTGGCCGGGCTGGCCGGGCGGCTCTCGCAGCTGCAGCGTGGTGCTGAGCGGAACCGCCTGCGGGCCGGGGACACGCGGGACACGGCAGGGACGGCGGCACAGCGGGCGGGCGAGGCCCAGCAGGTACAGGTCACAGCGGGTACCGGGTCAGAACAGGTACCGGGTCACAGTGGGTACCGGGACACAGCAGGTACCGGGTCACAGCAGGTACTGGGGCCCAGCAGGTACCGGGGTCACAGTGGGTACCGGGTCAGAACAGGTACCGGGTCACAGCAGGTACCGGGTCACAGTGGGTACTGGGTCACAGTGGGTACCGGGTCACAGCGGGTACCGGGTCACAGCAGGTACCGGGTCACAGTGGGTACCGGGTCACAGTGGGTACCGAGTCACAGCAGGTACCGGGTCACAGCAGGTACCGGGTAAGAGCAGGTACCGGGTCACAGTGGGTACCGGGTCACAGTGGGTACCAAGTCACAGTGGGCACTGGGTCACAGTGGGCACTGGGTCACAGTGGGCACTGGGTCACAGCAGGTACCGGGTCACAGCAGGTACCAGCAGGGCCCAGCAGGTACCAGCTCACAGCAGGGTACCCTCTGTGGGTGTGCCAGGTCACCTTCCTGTGCGGGCTGTGGCTGCTGAGCTGTCACACCCCAGCATCACCGTGCTGCTGAACCCTTCCCGATCCTAAGGCCCTTTGCTGGAACTCATTTCTGGCCTGTCCTGCCTGAGGCAGGGCAGCTGTGTGGAGCTGCCTGCTGGTCTGTGGGCGCATCTCAAACTGGCACATGTTTGGTTACAAAGCCCTGGTGCGGTGTCCATTTAATACCCAGACAGGATGCAAGGTGGAAATGCCCTCTGCCAGGCTGCTGCAGTGCCTGTTTGCTTTCCCAGGCTCTGGCCCAGGTGCAGGAGCTGTTCTCGGAGCTGCAGAGCAGGGCAGGGCAGGGCCCGGCGCTGGGCGAGCAGGGCAGCAGGGTGCAGAGCATCGGCCGCGAGGCGCAGGCGCTCTTCCAGGAGACCCTGGGCATCGTGCTCAGGATGGAAAGTAAGGCTCTCACAAACTCTGCCATCGTGCCCTGGGAAGGAGCTGGGGGTGCTGTGCTGTGGGGAAGGGAGCGGCGAGGGGCACAGCGTGCTTTGGGCAGCGAGAGGGTGGGATCTGGGCTGGAGCTGGTGGGGCTGTGCCAGGAAATCCAGAGTTTTCAAGGGTGCCACCACCAAGGGAAGCCCTGCCTGCAGTGGCACTGTGCTCCTGTTTTCCTCCACACACTCCCTTCCGTTTTTTGGCAGTCAGAACTGATGGGAGCGGTGCTCTGGGGGCTGTTTAGAGGGTGGGGAGCAGAGGGAGGGCAGGATGTTGGTGTTCTTGCCCTGTCACAGCTCTGCAGGAGCGAGGTGGAGGCTCAGCCCAACCCCACCACGTAACCCTTCTCTTCCCTGCCCTCTCTCCTCAGCTTTAGAGTCGGAAATTCAGGAAGGCAACAAGGCCCTGGTGTCCAGGATGTCGCGGCTGTCGGGGCTGGAGGAGCAGGTGGGAAGGATCCGGGACAGCATCAAGAGGAAAGTCGCCTACTACGAGAGCTGCTCCTGAGCAGCCCCGTGCCCAGGGCACCGCTGCCCGCTCTGCACCATCCCCGCTTCCCAGCCGGAGCTCTCCTGTGCCCAACAGCCCTATTTTTAGCAAGTTAATTTTCCGTACCTCTGGAAAATAGCTGCACTGAACCGAAGGAGCAACCCCGTGGAGGGGTTGGGCTGGCCAAAGCTGCCCAGTGGTTGGAGGAAAGAAGGGGGAGAGACATCAGGCTCCCATGGCAAATAAACACATCCCTGGGTTGTTATTTCCAGAGGGCTTTATAAACCACGAAATTATCTTTTTCTTCTTTTAGCCAATTCAAGCTCTTTAAGCTGAATTTCACTGTTCAAATTAAAGCCCTCCTGTGGGGTCTTCTAAAGCTTTTTATCTGTGCTGCAGTTAATTCTTCAAACATGCTATGGCTTCAGTACTTCCCTCTGAGATCTTCCTTCAAATAAGCAGATCAGAGAAATGGAGAATTTTATCTCCCTCTGTACAATATACCTATATTTATGCAAATTAGAGAAACACAGGCTCATAGTTGAAGGTGAAGTCAGATGTCTTGTTTGATTTTCTGCCACAATCTGCTTACTTTCCACAGAACGTTTTGCCAGAAAAACACCAGTGGGAGCAGGTCTGGGATGCACAGGGAAAGCTTTAGGAGAGACTTAACAGAGCATTTCCATGTAGTATTTCTATGAATAACCAAGAGACCTTTACAAAACAAATCTCAGCTTTATTAAGCCAGTGTTCATTGTGCAATTACAGCCTTGGAAGGGGAGCTCAGCCCTTGGTTTTGTCACACACAGGGAGGTTTCTAGCAGGTTCTCCCTCCGCTGCAGCTGCACTGAGGGCTGAGCAACCCGGGCAGCTGAACTCCAGAGTGCCAAAGCCTGGGACTAGCCAAGCCCGAGGAGAGGAGGGGGTGAGGGATGTAAAAACAAGGGAGCTGCCACGGGGGTAAAGCTCTGCATGGCTTTGGTTGGTGGGGCTGGTGTTGTGCAGGGCGCTTGTGCATTGACAGCTAACAGCAGCAGAACCAGAAGCACTGAGGATGCCCTATGGCAATGGACACTGGGGGTGGCAGCAGGAGCTCCCCTCGCCTGCTCCCAGCTGCAATGGACCAGGAACACCCGAGCAGACTGCAGGGATGGATCCTGGCACTGCTGTGCCCCCGGCCCCCAGAGCTGCTGGCAGGGCAGAGCCTCCTTTCCTGCTGGCTCTGCCGGTGTCTGGCTCTGAAGTGCAGAAAGGAGTGAAAGAGCCCTTCTGGTTCTGCAAGAGAGAGAATTCCAGGTGAGGCCGGGCTTTGTTCACTGCCCTGCTCCCTGCAGGACGTGCTGCTAAGGAGCTGCAGTGGGGCAGGGGCAGCTGGATGCCTCTGTGCTCCCAAAAGGGCAGGCACAGCAGTCTGCAGTGCCTCTAGCTTGCCTCTGTCACTCCGCTGTGCCTCGCAGTGCTGATCACACAGCCTCATCAGCAGGGACTGGCACAGGACAGGAGAGGGACAGGCTCGCTTGATGTGGCTTTTGAGGAGAGTCCTGCCAACAGGAGCTCACCTCTGGGATGTTCCTCAGAGCAGGATCCAACAGCAGAGCTTCCCACAGCTCACACTCAAAATGGTGCAAATGGTAACAGGATTGAGCCGAGCTGTGGTCAAACAGGATCCAACTTGAATTATTTTACTCTGCTTTACAAAATGAGCATCTCTGCTCATAAATCTGGGGAGGAGAGGAGCTGCCTGTGCTGAGCCCTGGAGCTGCAGCTCCTGTCAGCCTTAGCTCATGGCCACAGCTGAGACCCGGCAGAAGAGCCCTGATGCCAGCTGAGGCACACGTTGGCATCACGGTTTTTCCATGAATAGCTTGAAATCCTCTCAGAGTTTGGTACGACAAACCCATGCTTGGCTCCCTGCCATTCTGGGCAGCCTCAGTGAGATGTAAAATTGGATTGTGACCCAGGGGCCTGGCCCTGGTGGAAGCTGAGAGCTGGGGAGGTGCTTTGGTGGAAGGCTTTTCTTTTGCGGAAACCCCAGCTTTGTTTATTTAATGTACAGCGCTGTGCTAGCTGTGCCCTTCCCTTTTGCCTGCCATAATTGGATTAATGAAGAGCAGCAGCTGAAGATTGGGCTGCAGGGCACTCACCTCTGACACGTGCTGCCTCTATCACATGAGCAAACAAACTCCAGTTTGCCCAGTGCCACAGTGAGATGAATGTTTGCTGGTTTTCATTGGAACAAGGACCTCTGACTTGAAGTGACTGGTGGGGAACAGGTGACAGGGAACAGAAAGAGAAATAGCAATTCTTTAGGCTCATTCCTCATTTAGGGGAGTTGTGGTGTCAGTGCACAGAACATCAGCTGTCATAGCAGGGCCTGAGCCACTGGTAACTCCTGTGGCAAACCAGTGTGCTCCAGTCCACGGGAGCTGTGCCACCCAGCCTGGGCACCCTGCTCAGCCCGTGCTGGCACACGCAGCAGGGCCTGGCTGGGCACAGCTTCCAGCCACCCCATCACCGGCTCATCCCTCCCCTTCTCCCTCCGCCTGCCCACAGCTCCTGTGCCCGGCGTCTCCCCCCGTTCTGGAAGTTACTGGGAATGACCTGGGTACCTACTGGGATTTTGAAGACTTTTTCAGCAGCACTGTCTCACAGCAGGAGGATGCCTTTGTCTTCTCATGGCTCACACAGGAGGGGCTGCAGCCACAGGAGCTCCTGCCTGGGGGGCTG